TAACCTAGAAAAAGTGGTTTTGTTTGATACCGTATTCACATTTTTTGGTCGCCGTGATTTTTGGCTTAATGTAACTGAAAGAAATATAGATTTTCCTTTTTATGGGAAAAGATAAAACAATAGGGCTCTTTTGAACTTTCAAGAAACGCAAAGAAAGCTGTACACTTTTTGAATTCTAAAGATTTTCAGTGTTTCGAGAAATAAATATAATCTTTACCAAAAAAAGAGAAATAAATATATTATCTTTACCAAAAAAAAAAAAAGAGAAATAAACCTGCATGTGTCTATTCCAATCAAAGAACCCAGAAAACCAAGCATCTTGATGTTCTTGTAACCAAGAATACGAATGCATGTATGTATAAACATGTATATATATACCTTAGAGATCATGGGAACGATGTGACCAGGATCGGTGGAACCAAAGGTGTTGATAAGATTACCAAACACAAGAGTCATGAGCGGCTGCGACAGACCATTCCCCACCGCAGATATTGTTCCAACGATCATCAACGCAATGTCCAAACGGTCTGCAAACGCGAAGAGTTTATAGAAGGCGACATTCTGCTTTTCTTGATCTGCTTTCGCTTGTGACCGGTTATTATTATTAACTTCTGCTTCCCCATCTCCTCCTCCGCTTCCTCCTTCCATGGCAGTTGCCCTAATTCGAAGAAGACTCTCTCTCTCTCTCTCTCTCTAGAAGATGATCGGTCTCCCCTGTTGTTTGATGAGGAGAATTGTGTAGGAGGACAAAGTAAGATATCAACTTTTTGTGTGCCCTATGTGCTTTATGGTGTGGTGGGGTGAGATGGAAAAGGAAAAAGCGTGTACAACTAGGACAACTAACTAGCTAGGCTAGAGATTTTTCAGTGTTTCTCTAATACATATTATTCAAATATCATTCGACTTAAATAATAACAGGTAATGTAATCAGTAATGTTTTGATCAAACTGAAAAATTTGTCATTAGTCAAAGGATGGTTTGGTGTTTAGATGCAACATATACATCAGAGTCCTACTAATCAGCTACTACGTTGATTTTTATCGCTTCCTCACTCTACGGCTCCTTTTTCTCCTTTCCTCTCTTTTGTTTTTGTCGAAATTTCTACTTTCCTCTCTCTATTTAGTTTAATTAAAATCCAATTTAACAAGAATTATTATTGTTAACCAAAAAAAAAAGTTTTTATTTGTTGACAAACAATATTATAAGTGGATTAAATTATCAAAAATTAAGAGCATGAAAAATCGGTAAAAATTAAACTTGCACCAACGTACATCTTCAATTTTACAAATTTTTGTTTAAATAAAACAACTCTAAAAGCACGTTTACGAGAAAAACCGAATATGACTATGGGATTCGTTTGAATGACCTTTAAACTGTTGAGATTTGCGAGAAAGAAAGGAAGAAGGGGACAGACCGACGGACCGCATGCAAAAGCAACAGAAAATGATCTGGCCTTCATATGTTCTGCGTCATTAATTATGTGAATTCTTCCCATCAAGAAATTTTAAGTGTGCTAGAAACACGAATCTATACATCAATTGTAAAAATATAATTAGTTGAAAATTTGAAAAGAGAGATAACAAATTATATTATTACATTTCGTATGCTAATCGTGTTTTCGACAGATTAAAAATTTTCTCTTTGACAACATAGTGTCTATCAAAGGAAGACCTTGACCATTTGGATTAGTAGTAACAAAATTTAAAAAATAACATAATCGCGTCAATTGTGTCAAATAGTTCGCAAGTTTTTTGTTATCTATTCTATTCTATTAAGAGAAGAGACATTGTCAAATTTTTACCCTTTTTTTTTTCCTATTTTACCTTCATTTTTTATACACAATGTTGACATGATGAGGGCAAAATAGTAATTTTGAACTTTTCTCCTTTTTTCCTTTTTTCCTTTTTTCCTATTTTGCCCTCATTTTGTATACATAATTTTTACATAAGGAGGGCAAAATAGTAATTTTGTATCAAAATATTTACATAAGATAAAAAATGTAACATCTCACATCGACCAACAAAGAGGGGGTGATGTGTCCTATATGTACATGCCCACCTCCATATAGCACGAGGCCTTTTGGGAGCTCATTGGCTTCGAAGTTCATCAGAACTCCGAAGTTAAGCGAGTTCAGGTGAGACTCCCCAAATGGGCTGACCCACTAGGAACTTTTCATGTGAGTTCCCAGAAACAAAACCGTGAGGGTGTGGTCGGGGCCCAAAGCAGACAATATCGTGCTACGGCAGAGTTAAGCCCAGGATGTGATGAAGCCCAGGTCGGGATGTGACAAAAAATATGCACTTATTAAGAGAAATTGTCCCACCATCATTTTTTTTCATACACGTAAGTGAAATCATGATGTTTTTTGGATAGTTAGAATGAATTGAAGCAGTTGCACCTGAGGAGACCGTGGGAGGAGGTGGGCGGTTGAAGAGGCTTTAATTTTGTACCTTTTGACAAAATGACAATCATATCCCTATTTTTCCTATTTTACCCTCTCTTTTATTTTTGTGAGAAAATGACAATCATATACCTATTTTTCTTATGACAAAACAGTAATTATGTAATATTAAGAAAAAAAATATGCACTTATTAAGAGAAATTGTTCACACACACAAAATGTGTGCTCTTTACTAGTATATTTTGAGAAGAGAGAATCGATATAAGACTCAAAAGCAAATTTTTGTTTTTAAATAGGCATAATCATTTCAACACTAGAAAAACAATTACATCGTTTGATAATAAAGAAATCAGTATGAGAGTTTCTTCTTCAATCGAAACATTGAAGCAGCAACTTGAGGTACAAAATTCTGCCAATCAGCAAGTTAGTGTCAATTGATATCCATGTAGTTTTACAAAAGTAACTAATAATTTGTTTATTCTTTTGATATGCTACATATTGAATAGGAACTAAGGAAAGTATATCACATACGTAATTTTTTATTTATTTAAATGGTACCAAACTAGGTGAATGATGAATCTCATTACTTATGTTACCATATCTTATCCGAACTAAGGAGCATTTGAACATATGTTTTATTATTTAAATATACTCATTATACATCTAATCATCTTTTACGTGTTTTTTCTTACTCAATTCTAGTTAACTTTCATATTAAATGTTACTTTTACAATTTTGAAAAAAATTAACTAAGATCAGGTGAAAGAATACATGGTAGATAATTAGGTGTATGATTATTATACAATATAATTTATGATGATGAGCAAAAATGCTCCATCCAAACTATGTAGCTAATCCAAGTATACTGTAACGTCATCTTCTACGCAGACCATTTGCTTACAGAAGTCTAGAAAATTATTTTGGTAGATTTGCCATTATTGCTTCTTAAATTCACAATCACAAGCACCAGGATGCACTCTTTTCTAGAAGAGCTTCACTTTTCAAATTTTCACACTTTGTAGTGAACAAAAAATGCCAACAGCATCTTCTCTGGATCTTTCGGTGAGTATTTTAGGGATTCGTAAATCATGTATGTTAATCGTATATCGTGCAATCAAATTTTATCAGATAATATTTGTATTTAATTTTAAATAAAAATATTTAAAATGATTTCTGATAGTACGATATACGATGAACAGATATAATTCATAGATCTCTTTCTGGCGAGCATCTGGATTCCAAAAAATGCACGCTTGAATGATAGTTTAGAATTTCTTTTCTCCTTTTAGTCTTCTATTACCGTTTATTTTCTATAGTACTGAGCAGTACGGATTAGTATTATTAAGGGCGGAGCTAGAAAATTTTCACTGAGTAAGCTAGTTTAAAGTTTAAATCTTTATGAACAAAGAACTTGATAATGTATTTTTCACATTATCAATTAGCTTATGAAAAGCTTCACAAGGTGATCCAAGAATTTTTTGTTATTAAACATGTGTTAAAAGTCAAACAAATCCCAATTTGAAATATATATGTACAAGAAGTCATGAGAAAATTGATGTAAGAAAAAGAAATTGTTTGTAAGTTGTATTATATTGTTTTATGTAATTAAAATAAGAAAATTAAGATTAATGCCTAAATATATAGTGGAATACCTTCGGAAATCAAAAAAGTTACATATAAAAGTTTGTTTTTCATCGAAAGCTACTTGAACTATAGCCCATGATAGCCTTTGAGCTGACTCCGTCCATGAGTGTTACTTGATAGTTTGGTTTTATATTCATTAAATTGGCAAATAAGTAACAATAATTTTTTTTTTCAATTCAATCAAGACTTTTTATTTTTAATACTACTAAGAGGAGAGAGGTTGGGGGGAGGATTTGATTATGGCGTGGGGTGGATTGACCTCATCCTTTCTCGACGCTTGGCTGTTTCATTCAAAAAAAAATTTAATATAGAAAATTTAGAGTGTACATTTATTATAAATAAAATATTAATAACTATTTTATTATTTATTTATTTTGCACTTTCTTTTGAGAAGTTTTTAGCTCAGGACACGAATTATAACATCATATGTTATTATATAAATGAAGGAAAATTTTATTTTCCAAGTATCACATTGCTTGTATAATGAGATAATACGTAATGTACGATCTCGTATTCGTGAATACCAAAAAAGTTCTCCTCATTCGGATCCATGGCGGGCCCACGAGTAAAGCGTGTCCCCTTAGGGCTTGCATGTAAGTTGGATTCTTCAGACAATTGCAGGCCTTGGTGACCATTTGGTGACCATGCACACGGTTTCATCTCTTCGTTGCCTCAAGGCTATATGACACCTCTGTCAGGGAACGAGGGGTGCAGATACCGGGAGGGCAGAAGCAACGAGTAACCATTGCCGTTGCACATCGTCTTACCACCATAAAAAATACCGACGTAATTGCAGTGGTGAAGAACGGCGTGGCGGCCGCGAAGGGAAGCCACGAGTTTCTTATGAAGATCGGCGATGGTGCTTGTGCATCTTTTGTGGCACTTCACACAAGTTCAATGTGAGAAGGAAGATAAAGGCTATAATTTGTCACCTTTTTGGCAGTATCACTTGAAATTTGTTAAACTGATGACCCTTTTTTTATAAACAACGCGAATCATCAAATTACATATTTATGTAGCATTCACGAAAATGCATTGTCTGGAAATTTTGTAAGAAACAATGTGCACACGCATGTCCCGACTACATCATGGGACAACGCCAAACGAGCGCACGAGAAAACCAAACATCATGACCAGACAATCTTTTGTTATTTTGCACATGATGAGAGCCGTAAAGAGGAAACTAACTACCAGATGTTGGGGAGGGCTCAGTAATCTTCACCCCCGAGATCGCTGGATGGAATCCGCTGGCGTTTCTCCACGTAGGCTGTCGGAAACCATCCTCCTTTTCCTTTGCACTCTCCTTCTGACCATCCTGATGGACTCACCTGGATAAAAAGTTTTCCAGATCAGCAAACAAGAGAATATTAGGCACGTTAATTCAAAAAAAGGAAAAAAAATTTGGCAAGTTTCATCCAGAGCATCCCTACAAATCATGGCCTAGTTTTCGTTTATGGTTGATGAACATTTTAAAGGCCGGTCTCGAGGATATTACCTTTCGCACAACAACATAGTCACCGACTGACAAGCTTAGTTCCTTCTCTGATGCAGCACTGAAAGAATGTGTTGCCTGAAAGAGTAAAAACATTAGAAGTTCAGATTCTTAGACGTACTTGAAATATGATATGTCATAGAGCCAGTTCAAGAATGGGTGAAACAGGCACGAAACTGGATATTGAAAAACGAAGAACACTTATTTCATCTTTTAGTATCTTAACTTATCTGTTAATTCCTCTCTCCCTTCTTTCTATACAACCTACATTGTTAACTTTCTCTGCAACCATATGACCCCTGAATTGTGCAGCCAGCAGCCTATCTTATATTCTCGTGTTAATCTTTGTATAAAGGGTAAATACAATTTCTTTTAATACTTTAAGTTTGATTGAGCAATCAGAAATACAGCATCCAGGATATGAAAAGTAACATACTTCGGCCAAGAAGTACATTGTTTTCTCTGAGCCGTTCTCTTGTGGAATCACAGGAGGAGCAGACTCTTTCCGTTGCTTCTCTGAGACCAACTGCCACAAAAACCAGGCCATGACATGAGTTCATATAATTAAACCGGAAATGCTTTCCTTTTAAAGACAATCGTAAGTGGAACTGACCTCTGCTTCAACCTCACCGAGTACGGCAGCCACTCTCAGATGATAATTCTTTTCTCCTTCAACCTTAAAAGTGCTAAGGTTAATACGTGTATAACTGAAGAATGACTATAATCTTCAACATAAAAACTAATATTCGGAAAATCATGTGCATTCTTACCAGTGCAACAAGCCTCTGGAAAGTTAGTCTTTGCTGCTGTGCTTCCACAGCAGCCAATGCAGCTGAAGCTTCTATACCCAGAACCGCCATGTTTGCTTTCAATTCTTTCATCTTTGCTTCCGCTGCCTGCAGCTTTGCAACATTATCAGGATTTGGAAGTTCTCTTACTCGTGCTTGTCTTCTGGACACTTCTACCGCCTGTTGTTTTCTTAAGGTCACTAATATGTTGGCAAAAGGCAAATATTATCAAGCATGATAAGATAGGAATGTATTTTACCTGTGTCTCTGCTTCCTGTCTCATTCGACTATAACGTTGAGCAAGATGACGAGCATCTTCCAAAGGAGCACCAGCTATCATTGCTCTTAACGGATCTAAAATCTATAAAAAAACAGTGAAGGATAAGCTACACGTTCCATCTTAACTCATGAATATTATTACAATCTTCAAAAACGAAGTGGACTTATACAAATGTAATGGTATTAAAAGTCCATCTAAAGTTGCAAGCCACTCAAAAGCTTCAAAGTTAAGTATATTATACTTCAATCAACACCATTCTAAAATATAATTCTAATCCACAAACACGTAGACTGTAAAAAATATTCATGATAGAATTCATGTCCTGCAGCACAGCACAAAATGGCTACAATACTTCAATGATGACTAAAACGCAACCATGGTTGAGAAATAATCGTCAGAAATACAGAATACTTCTGTCATCCAAAAAGTTATATAAAATAATGTATTTGCGAGCGTGTCTGTGTACGGATGAATCCTGCATCCAACAATGTAACTAATTTCTCTAAGAATCGTTGACAAATTACAACAAATGGTAGAAACTACCCAATGATGAAGTCATAAGCACAACATAAATAAAATTATAATCAGAAGTCAACCTGTGAAGATAACAGCTTATTCAAATCTTCTTGTTCCTTTTCCACATGCTTACGAGCATCACCATATATAGATGCACCCTTAGCTAAAATCTTGTCACTGGTGTTTTCTGCACCATATCTGCTACAATCCTCGGACAACTTGGTTCCTGGCTACCACAAAAAGAGTACTAGTAATAAGTGCAACTACAAAGGCTAAGGTTATTCCTTCCAACATACTAAGTGAAGTTCTGAAACTAATTTCATAGGCTAAGGTTATTCCCTCCAATACACATTGCCCCATAGATAATCCAATGTTACTGAAAACGAATAACAAATTTCTACCTGCTTCAATATGCTTATACCCTATGGCTGTGAACGCTTCTGCTGCTTTAACAACTTCCTTCTGAAAATCCTGAGGATAAATAATGCGAAATCAGTTTCTGGCATCAACTCATATTACACATCTTAGAAAATCACGATAGGGGTGCTTTGCTTTTTTTCTTTTTAATGAAGACAGAAAGAATAGATCATTTCAAGTTAATGTATAATTTCAAAATGGCTCTTGGTCACATATATACCTTTCCAGCGCGAGTGGACCTGTACAGTTTCTCTAGCTGCTGATGTCTCTGCATCTCAACCTCATCTATTACCATTACATCTGAGCTTTCATAACCAGTCCCACCGAACTGCTTTATCACAGCCTGAAAATTTAAAAACAAAACTATAACATTAATTTGATGGACAGAAACAATAGCAACTAACTGATGGGTGAATATTTCTAACAAGCTAAAAAAAGTAGGTAAATAGGAAGAACGGGGTCGCAGAAGAACCATAATGGTATGCTACTTGAACTTAAATCATTTAAGTTAGCAATCCGACAGTGGTATTTTCTACACTTATCTCTACTATCATCAAACGCACTGTATATTGCATAAAGTGTGCTACCAAAACTCATCCGCCACTACTGAATTTGTCAACAAAAGTATATAGATAATTACCAAAATTGAGTCCATTTAAGAAACAATGAATTCGATCTTCACCAAGAAATTCGATATGAATACAGCATAAATTCATACTACATTTTCTCCATTGACCTAATACAGATTGCAGAAAAGTAACAAAATTTCAAATTTTGAGATTCAGGTGTTCCGGATTCAAATCGAAATGAACAGAATTTGCTTAATTCAATTAACTAGCACCATTCTTCTCTCAAGAAGATCAACAACGTTAAAAAATTTCGATCGAATAACGAACCGGGCACCACTGAAATCGCTTCAAATATACATCCCCATTCATAATTTAGTAAACCAACACAGACACAAAGCACGAATCCACCGCCACATTTTCTCAGTAACCAAACAGTCAATTAGCAAGCTTAAAACTTTACTTCAAAAATAATAAGAACAAGAAAATTATACTCAAAACAAATAAATGGGTTGTTCGTAAATCACCTGCTGCTGCTTGGCGACCTGCTCTCGGAGCTTACTAGCTTGCTTTCTTATAGCATCCATTCTTCTTCTTCTTCTTCTTCTTCTTCTTCTCCTTCGGCCTCTGTTTCCTTGAAGAGCCGAGAATTGAGATCGAGCTCAAAACGACAAAGGATTGTTGTTGAAGTGAGTGGGATTTTGGATTTGAAGGTTGATGGATCTCAAACTCTGAAATCGAACTAGTCTTTTGAATATACTGGGTTGGGTTGGGAGCCATACAGCGCTGGAAAGAGCTGCTCCGTTTTCTGGGAAATGTTTGTGTGTGGTGCTGAAGTGTATTCTTTACTTAGGCTCATGACCGTAGGATGGAGTTGATTGAATGATCTTGATCATGGCCTAAATAGTGCACCTAATTCTTTGAGATATGACCCATGAAACTTTTTCGTTTGTTTTGTTGGAAAATTTTGATATTTCTTTAAATTACAACCGATGTGAGATTTTTTTATTTTTATATTCTCACAGTATCAAATAAGTAATAACTCAATGATTACCGAGGATTGTTTCTTTTGGAAAAATATTAGGAAGATTATCTTTCAATACCATATTTTGTAGACCACGTGATATGGCGATTGCTGATTGGTTTATTATTTTAGTGATTTAAAGAGGAAATCTAATTATCGACCTCAACATCATATGCGGTTTACAAAATACGATTTAAGTAAATGGTCTCTCTAACATCAGCCATTTGCTTCTATCTCCTTTATTTGTGAGTGGGGGATTGGAGTTTGCAACATTTCTTAACAAAGTGATATAAAATATATTGCAATAATATCTAGTTATTTCGTTCATATATACATGCTGAGATTAAAACGTATACGTGGTGTTATTAAGTCACATGTATAATACGACAGTATGATGTGACAAATATTTTTAAAACCTAATAAATCAATATTAGCTACATAGATTACAACAAACTAAATTAATCACTTTACATGATGATATGATACTTACGCTAATAATTTCTCGCATATGTTCAACGAACTTATAATATGAAACTTCACGACCTATTGTTTAATAAAAAAGAGCAAAATATTCTAAACTCTACTTTTTCAAATTCGAATTGAGTGTAAACTCCCTCTCAAATTAAAAATAAAAAATAAAATTTTTTTCTATTTATTCACTTGTTTCATTTTGTGAATTTTGTAATTAAATATAGTACTTTAAAGAATATCACAATTAGATGAATATCGTACTATTTCACAAAAATAAAAATAAAATATCGAGTGTACCATTTTCTAAAAAATATGGTGTTTTTTAATTGCTTACTATTTGTCACAATATAATATGCGGTGGTAGAATCCAAATTTTTTTATTTTATTGTTCTCAAACACTAGGAACTACCAATTCAAATTGTGCAGCCTAATTGTTTAGTATTAAATAATTTTCAAATTTATTCATCTAATCCAACTTGACAAATTGATTTATTTCTTAATTTGTACAGATTCAAGTAGCACTTCAATTCTGTGCACAATATCGAAATTTCCCAAATCACATCATATTGAAGCCGCAACTTTTCCTCCAACCATTAAATAATTATTGCAGTCACAGATTCACAGAGAATCACATGCACCCCGGATTCATATTATTATGTCCACAAAAAATAATCCAAAACCCATGAAAAATAAATCGTAGTCTCGTAATACATCGTTTTTATTTACCTTATAAAGCGATGATAATGTTTACCATTTTATTAATAATATATTTTTACTAATCATACTTACGATCATATCAATTAAAGGTGACGAGCAGATACATTCTCCACGAACTGAACCATGCATAATTACATATTGGCACTTAGATCCAAAAAGAAAAACAAAAAAACATACAAGAATTGCATACCACAGACATGCACCCCATTATTTTAAGCCACGTCCCCAAAAAATTGACCCACTCTCTAATCCCCAGGGCCCAACCCTGGTATTTTTTCCCACTCCTCAAAAACGTTCCAAAATTCAAACATTCACAAATCCACATCAAGATCCCACCATTCACAAAATGACACTTAGCAATAAAATTAGCCCCTTATGCTCTAGAATCTATAGGAACTTATTTACACCCAAAACGTAACTGTAATCGCGTCTCGAATCAATTCTGTTTCACTATAGGTTTAACTTTTGTTTATAACAACACGGTATTCGTTCAAAATACTGGCACAATAACATCTAAGTAAGTTTTTCTCAACTAACTCGGACATAAATTTGCAACTTTTTGTACCCAAATAAATAAATTAGCCCAACCAGACCACACAGAATCTTCACACACGCATCCAGAGAGACGGAAATCCCAAAAGAATCCTCATCTCTCTCACCATTACCAGTCCTTATTTCTTACCATTTCAAGTTTTAATTTTTATTGTATTTTTGAAGAAATTTTTAGTTGTGACGGGAACGATATATGCAAGTGGTGAAATTTTTTAATTTTTAAGTTATTAATCTTTGAACACATATAACCTACTATTTCTATAAAAATACATAATCTACCATCTTATGTGACAGTCAAACTGAAAAATCCCCCGTATTTTTGAAACGCAGGCGGTTATTCTCCACAAAACAGTCCCTGAGAGTCCCACGTAATCACCTTTAAGAGAGAGAGAGAGAGAGAGAGAGAGGAGAATAGTGTCCGGGGATTTGATTTCGATCGAATAATACGAAGATCTGTCTCTCCGAGCGAGAGGAGAGAGAGATAGAGAGACCCCATTGCTGCTGTACAATCCCCAAAAGGAGACAGAGAGAGTGTGTGCAATCATGCCTTCAGGTGCCAAGAAGCGAAAAGCTGCCAAGAAAAAGAAGGAGCAGCAAACCCACAACGGCACATCCAATCCTCCTCCTATTCCTTCTCAAGGTGCTTTCTTTGTTTATTTGATTATTCAATTCGTCAATCCCTCACTTCCCATCTCTCACTCGATTGTTTCCGAACCTTTGTCAGTAATTTTTCTTGTTATTTTATCGATTTGGGTAATTGGGTATTTACCAGTTACCCTTTTTTGCCTTTGTTTGGTTGGGATTTTTGTGATATGAATCAAGTTACCCAATTTTGAAGCTTTGATTTTGTTTCATTTCCCCATTTGGGTTGGTGGGTATTTGCGGATGTGTTGAGTTTAGCTTAATTCTGGTGAACAAATTGTGGTTGCATGTTAGTTAGTGAATCTCTGAGTTCGTACTTTATCCCCCTCTCTAATGACAGTTTTGAAATTTGAATGTTTGACACTTTTTGGCTTCGAATTGGCTTAATGGGTGTTTATTGAAGTCTTATCTTTGCATGGTTTTGACTGAAACTCTTGTGATTGAATTGAACTATGTTAGGAAATAATGATTTGAACTCCCAAGATAAGGGAGTGCCTGGGGATGCCGAGGCAGTTAAGAGGGTTGAAATTGAGAGGGAACTGGGAGACAATTCAACAAGCAAAAATGTGATTATTGAGGATGCTAAGTCTGCAAAGGGATCATCTAACGGGGATGATAGAAGCTCTAGCAGTAGTAGTTCAGATGAAGAATCTCGAGCTGTTGATAGAAGGCGAAAGGAGGATATCCATACATCAGTTTCGGAGGAAAAACCTCATAATGATTTGGTTAAGTCAGTGGATTCTACATCAGCTGGGAAGACTACTGAAGATTCACTAGCTGAGAAGACTACAAGTTCAGCTACTACAGAGAGTGCCCCTTCTGTTGATTCTGTTACGCATGAGGTTTCTGTGCACCTCTCAAAAAGCACGCCAGTTGAAAGTGCACCGATCTCCAATGAGGTAGTAAAAGCAGGGTTGGATAATGGTGCAGAGAAAACATTGCCTACTGTGGATCCTGTATCAAAGAAAATTGAGGATAAAGCATCGCCATTACTGGACGATACTGCTAAGGCATCTTCAAGTGTGGTGGAATCTGCGTCTCAAGAAAATGAGAGCATAGTATTGCCATCATTAGGTACTTCTCTGGCCCAAGTTAGTAATGATGCTGAACCCATCAAAGATCCTGAGGTTCCAGAATATTCTGAAAAGCAGGTATTGCGCCGCATTTTTTTCTTCATTGAAAGTTTGATGTTAGATCTTTTTTTTTGATAATCACATTCAATTTCTTTGCTGGAATTTATGCAGCCTCTGTTAGCTCCGGCTCCACCCGTGGCGCAAAAAACATCTTGGCTTAGCTGCTGTGGAATTCTGGAGGCTATAACAGGCTCCAATAGATAAGTTCAGGTTGGGATTTTTCTATCAAGTTCTAATAACATGTCTTGCCTTTTCTCTCTCTATATAGTTTTTGTCAATGCTATAGAGCAGACTGGGTCAGTGTGACATTGAGATGTGTTTAGGATGTAACAGGGATGCCATAATTGTTTGAGTGGTCATTGTTTATTATGTTTCAGAAATTTAAAGTGTGGATCTTTATTGACCGTGGTCTCTAGGTGTCTGATTTATGCTTTTATAGAATATGGATTGCAATGCTAGTGAAAAATGGTAGCCAAGGACTGGAATTGGCAAGATTGGTTTGTCATGAAAGGCCTCGTTTACGATTTTCTCACATGAAGGGTTTAACGTTTATCATGTTGCCTATGGAATGTAAATAGTGGATGGAGAATTATGTTTAAATGTGTTGCATAATGTGTTATCTTACAGATTTTAGTAGGAAATTTAGTTACTAATCGAGTAGGATTGTCTCACTATACAAGTTTGAGTAGTAAAGCAGCGAGTAACAATCCATTGTTTAAAAGATAAGAAGAGAGAAGAAATTGTTGAGGCTTCTTCCCAAGAGGGACTTTAAGCAGTACTTTCAGACTTTAAGCTGTCCTCACGGAGAAGAAATTAGATAAAAGCAGGAATTCCAAATGTTCGACTCATATCTTGATGTCGACAGTCCCTTATGCTAAGGTTAGAAGACCTCTTTTGTGCTAAGGTTATGCAGAAGTTTTTTTAGTTGATCTCCCTTGAATTGCAAGTGTACATCAATTGTAAAGGTAGATAGAGATTGTACTAGAGATTAAAAGAGATAGCTGCTAGCTCAACCACCTAAAGGAGAATCTATTGGGCATTTCTGTTTCAGCTCGTCTAATAAGCGCGCTATCTGAATGTGATCTTTTTCAAGTGTTAGGTATTTTCTGATTTGATCTGAACCTGCTTAAATTTTCTCGTAGTCTGAGAACGGTGCTAAGCTTTATATTATTGCACAACTCTATGCCAGCATTGAGATATATGCATCGCTTTCCTGCATAACAATTTTATATAGACTTGAGTGATGTTACTGTTCGAGTTTGTAATACCTTTCAAACTGAATGTTGCTTGATTTTTTTCAAGGTTTCTCGTGATGCAGAAACAACGGATGAAGCTGTTTTGTAACCAAAAAAAGTGCATGAAGGGTTTCAGCGGACTCGTGAAACTTGTGGAAGTGAAAAATGTTCCGAGAATTTTATGATATTTCGATATTAGAACTTATACTTTTTTTCCCGAAAGAATAATGGGCAAGAACCGGATTAGATAAAACCAAATTAAGATCTGTGGTGGTGATAGTGTCAGGAATGGTAGGCAGCTGTATATCTCTGCTTTTGCAACCTTTCTTTCTTGTTACTTTTGCAGAATAGTTCTCTGTGTTGTTTTTACTTCCTTTTTTGCAACATTTTCAATATCATTCTTCACTTGATTGTTGTAGCCAAGTTAAGAGTCCCGCTCTCCGCAATTTATTTTAGATTAGAATATTGTTCGAACAGTGGAAGCGTTTGATTACTCACGATTTTTAGTCGATTTTACGAATTCGTATTTAAATCATCGTTCAATCTATTATTTTTATTTTCGCCTCACCGTGGAGTTTTGAAAATTAATTTAAGACTTTCCATTTATATTTTTGAGGGTGGAATCCCATTTTGACATTGATTTGGGGCCGCAATACTATATTTTTCACTTGTTTTTTAGTTTTTGGTTTAGATATTTTACTAAATATATATATTTATTGCTTAATAAATAGTAAAATCACTTTTAAATGCCTTATAATGTTTTTCTTAATGCTCATAGAAAATATTTTAAGACAAAAAAATTTGCATTTTTTCACAAAAAAACATGGTTTAACACCCACGGGATTTAGTGGGTTTTGCAAATTCGTACATAAATCACTGTTCAATCTATTTATTTTCACATTTTCCTCACCGTGAAGTTTTACCAACAATACCCAAAGTCAAAGAAAATTTGTTGGAAGTGAGCCTCATCGTGAAGTTTTAACAACAATGCTCGAAGTCAAAGAAAATATGTCAGATGTGAGCAGTCATTCTGGCACCTATACAAAAATAACAAGAATTTGAATCATTTTTGTACATTTTTTTTTATTTCTTTTACCACTACAACAAACTATCATATTCATGTTCTCCAAAATTTATTATGATTCATATTTAAACACTTGTAATTAATGATTTCAAACCTAAATTTAAAGATATTAAAAATTTTTTTTTGTGTTAATTTTTCTTTTATCTAAATCTAAAGTATAGATTTCGAGAAAATAAACACTTATAATGTTTTTCTTTTATCTTTTTTTGTGTTAATTTTTCTTTTATCTTTTGTTGTTAATTTGTATCTAACATCTCTATACTGTTCACTTATTTTTTTACTTTTTGACTTAAATATTCTACTAAATATACGCTTGTTGCTCAATAAATCGTAAATCCGCTTCCAAATACATTATAAAGAATTCCTTAATGCTCATGGAAAATATTTCAAGAAAATAAAAAATTTGTATTTTTTACAAAAAACGTGGATTAACACCCACATTTTTCAGTCGATTTTGCAAATTCGTACATAAATCATTGTTCAATCTATTTATTTTTACATTCGCATTACTGTGAAGTTTTGAGAATTAAGGTGAGACTTTACGTTGAGATTCTTGAGTGTCGAACCCCATTTGACGATGTTTTGGGTCTCACTACTATGTTTTTCAAATAATTTTTTTGTTTTCGGCTCAAATATTCTAATAGATATACATTTGTTGCTCAATAAACTGTAATACTACTTCCAAATTCCTTAAAAAGTTTAACTTAATGCTCAAGAAAAATATTTTGCAAAGATAAAAAGTTTGCATTTTTGTTAAAAAAACATGGGTTAGGCGGACTTAGCTTACACAAAATGAGGCGAGCAATGGCACGCAAAAAAGGCAAGCTTCGCTCACAAATGGGGCAGGCTTCTAGCACGCAAAACGAGGCGAGCTCGTGCACAAAAAGTGAGGCAAGCTCCTTGCATGCCAAAACGACACAGGCTCCGTGTACGCAAAAAGGGACTAGCTTCTAGCATGCAAAACGATGCAGACACCTCACATGCAGAATGAGAGAACCCAGGCACACAAGACAGACGGGCTCTACGCACGCAGAACGAGGCAAACTCTTAGGTGCTTAGAAAACGAGCGAAGCTTCACGCACAAAAAAATATATTTTGGAGAACATGAATATGATAGTTTGTTGTAGTGGTAAGAGAAATAAAAGAAAAATGTATAAAAATGATTCAAATTCTTGGGTGTGGCTGAAAGTTACTCGTGACTTGGCTCCCACAAAAGCACGTATAACTTTCTGCCACACCCACAAATCTGAATTATTTTTGTACATTTTTGTTATTTTATTTCTTTTACCACTACAACAAACTATCATATTCGTGCTCTTCAAAATATACATTTTAACATCTCTATATTGTTCCCTTATTTTTTTACTTTTCGACTTAAATATTTTACTAAATATATACTTGTTGCTCAATAAATAGTAAATTTGATTCCAAATACATTATAAAGATTTCCTTAATGCTCATGGAAAATATTTCAAGAAAAAAAAACTTTGCATTTTTTACAAAAAACGTGGAAAAACACTCACAGTTTTCAGTCGATTTTGCAAATTTGTACATAAATCACTATTCAATCTATTTATTTTCACCTTCGCCTCACTGTGAAGTTTTGAGAATTAAGGTGAGACTTTACATTGAGATTCTTGAGTGTCGAACCCCATTTTACAATGTTTTGGGTCTTACCACTATGTTTTTCAATTTTTTTGGTTTTCGGCTCAAATATTCTACTAAATATACATTTATTGCTCAATAAACTGTAAAACTGGTTCCAAATTCCCGAAATAGTTTAACTTACGACTCTTGAAAAATATTTTGTGAAGATTAAAAGTTCGCATTTTTGTCCAAATGGGTTAGGCGGGTTTGATGCACGTAAAACGAAGGGGATTCAATTTACGCAGAACAAGGCTAGCAATGGCACGAAAAACAACGCGGGCTCCACTCACAGAAAATTAGGGAGCTTCTGGCATGCAAAATGAGTGGACTCAGCTCACGAATAACAAGGCGAGCAATGGCACACAAAACAAGGCAGGATTCCCTCATAGAAAACAAACAGGCTTTTAGCATGAAAATCGAGGTGAGCTCGCGCATGAAAAACGAGGAGGTATACGTTGCACAAATTGAGGTTAGCCCCGCGCATGAAAAATGAGGCTGGCTCTGAGCACTCCAAAACGATGAGGGCTTTGTGTACGCAAAAAAGGGCGGGCTTCTAGTATGTAAAACGATGCAGACACCTCATATGCAGAACGAGGTGAACCCAGGTACACAAGACTAGACGGACTATGCTCAAGTAAAACGAGGTGAACTCCGGGTGCTTAGAAAACGAGCCGGGTTCCATGCACAGAAAAATATATTTTGGAGAACATGAATATAATAGTTTGTTGTAGTGGTAAAAGAAATAAAAGAAAAATAATCAAAACTGTATAAAAATGATTCAAACTCTACAAGGTGGCAGAAAGTCACACGTGATATTCTTGATGGTGGAACCCGTTTTTGACAAATGTTTTGGGTCTCATGACACACCCTGACCCAGAATGTCCACTTGGACTCCGAATCGAGTTGTGCTGGTTGACACCTGGAGGGTGGCGAAGCCATAAAGTGTAGTGTAGTGGAAAAAAAAAAAAAAAAAAAAAAGATGTGAATAAATTTGAACCTAAAAGTGCCTAGTCAAAAGAGTACGCAGGTGAGCGAGATTGAACCCATTTCACACGTGATGTCAGAGCATAAGACAGTATAGTAAATAGGATGAGAGTTATACCACTGAAGATAACCATCTCCTGAGATTTGCCAGAATCCTCGTTTACACGTAAGCACAGTTACTAAACCTAGAGGGGCGAAAAACAAAGTTGAGTGGGGTCAGAAAATAACGTTTTGTAAAAATCTTTTCAAAAACATTATAACTCCTCGTTGTAAAATTAAGTATAGTTTTCAAAATATATGCGTACTACGTATAGTAAGAAAATACTTACCGTAGCCTGCAAAGTCTCAAGAAATCAATAAGGCACAGCTATCGCAAATAAGCACAAGGTGACCAATATCACATAACCTCGTAATATGTAAACATAACATAACAAATGCTCATCGACACAAGCTGACACATGAGTCAGAGTTGCCTAATGCAACATGTACGATAGGACTGGGTGTAATAAATGTGCTCTAGTAATACAATCACATGAAGGCCGACGTCGAAGCGCGGTCACATACAAGTCGGAATTGCCTAATGTAATCTGTATGACATGACTGGCACCTAACTTGGATCCAAGGCAAGTGAACAGTGTGGATGTGAACATACAAGTGAAAAACTGGCCCTGACCCTGGGCAAAGTACTAACACCGAGGTGCAGCAATGATGAGTAGATGACATAAATAAAATCGTGCCACAAAGATTCGATAACTCTAATCAACGTAGTAATAATCACAACTATAAATATAATATCATGATATCTCGTGCATACCTGTGAACCTATAGGGCATAGAATAATTCCCTAGGTTCAGTCATTTCACTACTTCATGTAATTTTAGTCTAAGTAAGGCATATGTAGTAAATTCTTTTCGAAGTATGATTGGAAACTAGCAGGTATGCGTACACTTATAAAAAGAAATGACCCACTTACAGTTACGCAGTCGAAATGAAGCCTCCGAGGCTTGCTTGACCCCGTACGTTCTCGGGATACGTTTCCCCTATATGTGAAATTACTAAGATCCAAGGGCACAGTTGTGTTCGTGGTGGTGAAACAAGTTCAATGGTGTGGTTTTCAAGCCACGTTTGAGTGTTGTGAGGATCGTTTGAGGGAGTTGCAGGAGAGAAAAAGAGTTCGGGGAGAGAGAGAAGAGAGAGAGAGCTTCGGTGAGTTCTAATTGGGTGACAGGTTTAAGGGTGATAACTAATTGGGTGGATGAAAAAGGAAGGAAAGAGCTTGATTGGTGGAGAGGATTTTGGGGAAAGTTGATTGGTGGTTTGTGTGAAGAAAGGGGACCGGATCCACCAATTAAGGAAGGGATGGGTGGATTTTGTACAATTTTTAATGTACAAAATATGCTTCCCTATAGTTAACGTACTTTAACAGAGTATAACTTTTTCGTTATAGATCCGATTCGAGTCTAATATGCGCTCATGCGTTTGTAGTGACGAGTAGTAATTTAGTACGAAACTAAGAAAATGAAACTGAAAGCCAAAAACCACGTCCACGTCAGATTGCACTTTTGCCAAAAAGGGTAAAATCATCAACTCACACCAACGGAAAAGAAATTACAGTGAAAAGTAGGGACGGGTCGTCACATCTCACTACTATGTTTTTCAATTATTTTTTTTGTTTTCGGCTTAAATATTCTAATAAATATATATTTGTTGCTTAATAAACTGTAAAACTGGTTCTGAATGTCTCATAAAGCTTTCCTTAATGCTCATGGAAAATATTTAAAAAATAACCAAAATTTAGACCTCTTATAGAATTATAGTCATCCTTTAATTTATGATAATTATAACCAAAGATTAATACGTAAATACTAATATACCCTTAAATAACTAAAAACTATTCATACATCTCCTGCAACCAGCAACCACACACCTCCTCGACACCTTTCACCGACACAACCCCTCTTCCAATTTGTAAGCAGGCGCAACCTTGTGTTCGTAAAAGTCGCCACATCGATCACACCTCCAGTACAACTCCATAGATCTTCGACTCGAATCCATAATATCCGAGCAATAATCCAATTTTTTTCAAATAAGATTTCTCGTATTCTACAATTTTCATATCCAAATCCAATAAATAATCAAAAAGTTTGAAAACAAGTTGGATGAAACCCAGAAGATGAAAAGAGGGTTACGTACTGGAATTGTATCATCGTCATTTTAATTTTGGAGATTGATCCAACGCTTGACGAATGCAGGTTTTAGTAAAAATTGTTTGTTGTTCATTATTTTTTTGTGAAATTGTTGTTGGATTTGTATTGCTGTTCAATAATGGAGTTGGAGATGAAGTATATTTCTGCAGTTCTATTTTAAATTCTCTTTCTTGTCTCTCAATTTTCATTTTAAGGGTATGTTAGTACTTTTATATTAAAATTTAATTATAATTATCATAAATTTAAAATACTGATTATAATTCTATATAAGATCTTAATTTTGTTTAATTTTTAGCAAATTTTCACAAAATCTTCCGTGAAAATAAAAATTTTACATTTTTTTGACCAAAAAGGTTGTTTGACAACACTTCAATGCATTGATAGCCGGTATACATATTTTATTGGTCAGTCTAAAATCTTTTGTATACCCATGACGATGGATAGATAGTAACACTAGATAACGGTGTTGAATGTCACACTAAAAACATTCCAGCCTTAAGAACGTAATTCATAAAATGAGTATTGAAAAGCATTTATGTATTCAATCCAATCCAATCCAGTTATATCACACTGTTGACAGACACCATAACCATGGCCAGATTTATTCAAACTAAGAAAAAAAGGTATGAAAAATAAATAAATTAACACGGAAGAATTCAGACGCAGCACACAAACACAAAAGTCGCGCAACTCTCTTTAAGTTCATCTCCTCGATACAACGGTATGAATGACTGCTAAATACAGAAGCTGCGTCACCGAAAGGATGATCAAGAAGGCCTCCATTGTTCTCTGCAAGAAAGTGGAGTATGTTTCAATATAAGAAGATTTCTGGAGGAAATTGAATGAGTATTTTAGGGCTGGTTCGATAACTATTTCGTCACAACATAATTTTCATCTTACCAATCGCGAATTTCTGATCCGAAGCTCGATCTCCTTGCAACCGAAGCTGCACGAATTAGGTTAATTAACAGCTGATTAATATAGAGCAAAAATAGTTCAAACAATTGTGTGCAACTATGCATCTGTTATTATGGATGGTAATGACTTGTAAGTACCTCATGGCAAGTAGGGTGAGGGTCCAGGCAATGGTGGCAGCTGTGGCTGCAGACGGCAAGCTCTCATAGGTCCAAGATCGAAAATGGTTGATACCGGAAATAGCTGAAGCTACGCCAACAACTCCAGCGAGCAGAGCGAATGTCACAAAGAACCCGGTAGCAGCATTCCCCATGGGGAAATATATTGGCGAAAAATGTGCCGGGAGATCAAAACCAGGACCTACAAGAGTCTCACTCAGCATTAGCATACAGAGAAGAATTCATACTACGTAAAGTGTAAACAAGAAAGAGAGAGAGTTCAAGTGGTTAAGAGCGTTTACCAATAACAAAACCATGGTCGATTGCTCGGTTCATTGCCCAACCTCCAATGCCCAAAACGATAACATACATACAGAAATTGAGAGCCAAAAGCAGTCCGGCAACGGGTTTTAACTGCTGGTTGGCCATTGTGTAAGATCAAATGCTGTTGGATGCAGAAAGGGTTGTACTTGTTATTGCATGTGTAAAAGCACAAAGAGATGATCTTGTCATATATAAGGAAGGAAGAAGGTTTTGGTTCTTTTCTTGCTAAGGCTGTTGGTTCCAAAAGGGCTAAATGTGTGGGGTTGTAAAGGAGGTAGATGCTTGATGATCAAGGCAAACCAAGCAAGAAATGTCCAGATTCTTACTTGGCTCACATTTTTATGTATTTTTTTAAGGGTACATTCTTCTTCGTCTAGGCTTTGTGCCATTAATTGTTCCTAAGAGAACAAAAAAGTGATATTCTTATCCAGACGGACACATAATACTATTGTCATTTATTTTAATATAAGCCATCGTTTAAACTGCTTTAAATTATAAGGTGATTCAAATTCGAATGTAAAGGAGTAAGTACATTATCCTGGACAAAGGACCTGACCATAACAACAATAAGATAAGAGTGTAACCTTCCTCACAATGGTTAAGGTCTCATTTTGAAAAGTAGATTTAAAATAACTGAAAGCGTTTTTGAAAAAAAAATGTTTGTGGGTCACAAAAGCACTTGAAGTGCATTGAAGTGCTTTATGCAAAAAGCACATAACTGGTACTTCTTGCACGAAGCACTTTTAGTATTTTTTTAGGATTCATTTGTATTTTTACTAAAGAATTGTTGTAAAAACGTTTTCACCAAATGAACTTTCAGTTATTTTAAAAATACTTCCAAACGAACTCTAAGTTAGTTAAACTTCAAGAATCAAATTAGAGAAAAAATATCACACTTATTTATCAGGTGCAATCACCTATTTATCTTTAAGTGTTCTTTAACTATAAAACTTATAAAAAGTCATTTCCGCATTAGTTTTCTCCTTCTGCAATTCTCGTTTAATTTATTCAATTAAGAAGCAGGTGAGCGTGGATGGGGAGAGATTTTTCAGTGTGATCGGCACACGATGTGGTACATCACGTGTTACCATACAAATGGTGAAATATGTGTATTAAAAAATTAATAACTTAAAAACTAAAATTTCTCACCACTTATATAAAAACATGTAATGTACCATTTGCTTTCTCGTCGTAATAAAAAATTTCTCGTGCATGGGAATAGAAAAGCGTGTGTGAAAGTCCAATGTCAAGGGCAATAAACTCTCCACACGTACAACACGTTGCGTTTGGGCCTTTTAGTGAACCGGAAACCACCGCCCAGACCCTCTCCCACTTTAACGTTGGTTTTCTATACACCGTTACCGATTAACGGTCATGCTAAGAGTTCCCGCCATTTTCCAAAGCCTCAGAACCGTACAGTTTCCACTTCCACTCTCCATTTCACCTCCGATTTCCACCAAAATCTTACGAAACTCTCTGAATGCTTGGTGGGTTTGATGAATTACACCAAATTGACCACCCCATCTCACAAATCACTGCTCTCCGATCACCTAAAGAACCAAAATCTAGACCAAGCTCGCCCTTTTTCCCAGTGTTGATTTGTACACCATGATGATCAAGGGGTATGTGCAAATACGCAGGCTGGATGATGCCCTCAATCTGTTCTACGAAATGCCTGAGAAAGATACGGTCTCTTGGAATTCGATGATCAAAGGCTGTTTGGATTGTTGGGGATTTGAGCAAGGCTAAGGAGCTTTTTGATGGAATGCCTGGAAAGAGCGTTGTTTCTTGGACGACGATTATGAATGGGTTCTTGCAGTTTGGTGAAGTTGAGATGGCAGAGCGGTTGTTTCGTGAGATGCCTGTGAGGGATGTGGTGATTTGGAACTCGATGATTCATGGATAATTTAGTAATGGAAGAGTGGAAGAAGAAGACGCTAAGAAGTTGTTTAGAGTGATTCCTTGTAAGAATGTGATTTCGTGGACTTTGATGATTGGCGGGCTTGACAGAATTGGGAGGACGGATGAAGCTTTGCTTTTTGAGAGATGATAGGTTCTGATGTACAACCTACTTTGACAACATTTGTGTGTGTGGTGACAGCTTCTGCAAGTTTGTTGCGTTTGGATTTAGGTGTTCAGATTCATGGTCAGATTGTCAAGTTAGGGTACTGCTTCGACGAGTTTGTAGCTGCTTCACTTATAACACTCTATGCAAACTGCAAGCAAACGGAGAATTTGTACAGGGTTTTCAACGAGAGCTTGCATAAAAATGTTGGACGGCTCTTTTAACAGGATGTGGTTTGAACTGTCAACACGAAGATGCGTTGAAGGTTTTCAGGGACATGATGAACTCGGGTGTCCTTCCCAATCAGTCTTCTTTCACTAGTGCTTTAAATTCGTGCTGCGGATTAGAAGATCTTGATCAGGGCAAGGAGACTCAAACGGCAGCTGTTAACGTAGGCTTTGAAACGGATGTTTTTGTGGCCAATGCACTTATCGTCTTCTATACCAAATGCGGAAGCATGAATGGTGGAGTTTCTGTATTTAAGAGAATTGGCGACAAGAATATTGTGTCAGGGAACTCAACCAAAGTTGGATGTGCACAACACGGTTGTGGAATGTGAGCTTTGACACTCTTTAACCGGATGATACGCACAGGTGTAGAGCCAGCTGAAATAACATTCACAGGGCTGCTTTCTGCATGCAGCCATTCTGGGATGTTGCAGAAAGCAAGACACTTTTTAAAATTTTTCTCTGTTGAGGTGAAACTTGAGCACTATGCGTGTATGGTGGATGTCTTAGGTCGATGTGGTGAGTTGGAAGAAGCAGAGGAGCTGATTAAGAACATGCCTGTGCAAGCAAACAAGAAGGTATGGCTAACTTTACTTAGCGCTTGCACGATGCATTGCAATTTTGATGTGGCTGAAAGAGCTGCAAGACGCATTGAAGATTTTGACCCGCATTGCAGTGCTGTTTATGTTTTACTGTCTAATTTATATGCTTCTGCAAATAGATGGAGTGATGTCTCGAGAATTCGAGAGAAGATGAGACATTCTAGAACTGGAAAACAACCTGGTCGCAGTTGGGTTACTCAGTGAGCAAATTTATCAGAAACTGGATCGGTTAGAAGGAAGATCGAAGGAAGTTGGTTACATTTTCGACCACAACAAAGCCTTATCCTACTAAGGGAGGACAGCTGTATGAATTTTAAAACGCTATTGCGCCTATCTGTTGTAATTCGACTGTCATTCTGTAAATAGAGGCTGAAATATTAAGGTTTCAACTGAATGTGAAAGCAGCCATGCTTAAGAAATTAGGCACGACTTCTCCTTCAAATAGAGTGTATCCACCGTGTTGTGTGACCGTTGTATGTCACTGAAGCTCAAGAAAAAAATTTATAGGACGGCAATAAGGCTGGCGATGCTGTATGACACGGAATGTTGGGCAGTGAAGCATTGTACATAAAATGGGTGTAGCGGAGATGAGGATGCTTCATTGGATGTGTGGGCACACGAGAAAGGATAAAATTAGGATGAGGATATCCGAGGTAAAGTAGGAGTAGCCGAAATTGAACGAAAGATGAGAGACAATCGGCTACAGTGGTTCGGACATGTGCAACAAAGGTCTACTGACGTTCCGGTTAGAAGATGTGACTACGGGGATAGAGGTCCAGGGCTGAAGGGGTAGAAGAAAACCTAGGAAGAATTTGGAAAAGACTCTAAGAAAAGACTTAGAGTACTTAGATCTAACGAAAGACATGACACAAAACCGAGCACAATTACGTTCTAAGATTCATATAGCCGACCTCATTTAGTGGGAAAAGGCTTTGTTGTTGTTGTTGTTGTTCTCCTTCACCTCTTCTCCCAACCATTGACATGGATTTTCAATCAACAGCTTAGCTTCACCCTCCAACCTCGTTCAACCCTCTCAGTTTTTGTCAAATCCAATTTCAGTTGAACCCTAAGACGTACCGAATTATTACCACAAATGTTTTAGGTTTCTTAATTTAGTTTGAAGGGATGACTTTAATATTTCCACGTGAGACTCACATGTGATTATTTGACGAAAGACTAAGAAAAATTTGGATTTTGACCGCAAATTGCTAATGAGACTCAATCAATACGGAAGTTTAATTAACAACTTTTGCCTTGTTAATTTTCACAATAAATATATATATATTTTAAAATTATTTGTGTGAACTTTTTGAGACAGATTTGACTGGGTCTTTCCTTGTTGTTTTGTTCCAAACATGATAATAGCCTAAACAAACAATTTACCTTATAAATCTCTACTTTTGGGAAATATTGTTACAAGATCGCATAAAGAATTTAGAAAAATTGGAGGAGCCAAAAAAAAAAAAAGGAGAATTAAATAGCAAAATTGATATTTGCTTTCAGAACCAAACGGGATCGTTATGAGAGTGGTTATATAATTGAAATTTGAGTTCTCGCAGCGGAGATTGTCAATGGCGAGCCGCGCTACCATCGACCGCGCCGATCATCATGCGACGGAGAGCCACCACACCGATGCAGCTCCTGAAATCGAAACCAAAGACCTCAATTTGGTCCTCGAAGACGATAACTCGAAAGCCACAGACTTCGACAAGTCGGAAGAACTCGAAGCTGATGTTGAAGAGAAGGTGTTCGACATAATGCCTGAGAGAGGAGATGACAATACAAGCGAGAAGGGGGTTTCTAAACTGCTTGCGGAAATTGAAATGCTGGATTCGATGATAGAGAAGAGCACGGTTGGGTTGCTTGATTTGCAAGTAATGAAAGAGGAAATGGAAGCGCAGGAGAGAGAGATGGAGTGGAAGATGAGCGAGTCACTGGCATTGAAGACGGCAATGGAGGAGCTGAAGAGAAAGAAGAGTGAGGAGCTGGTGGGAAAGAAGAAGGCGGCGAGTGGATGGTGGAAGACAAAGTGGGCTCTGCCTGTGGTAGCGTTGGCGGCGTGTGCTGGGATCGTAGCTGCTGTGGTTTTGGCTGGAAATGTGAAGGCTGACAGTAGAAAGAAAAACAAACCAAACAAGATCAAGACATTGTAAGTTGATCAACGTAGTGTTTAGCCTTTTTTTTTTAACAACATTGTTTGTTAATAAGATTTTTCGGCTTCTTTGAAGGTGAGTTTGGAGACATAGGGCTGGTTTGGTATTATTGTGCTTTGAAAAAAAACTATTTTTACTGTGTTGTGAGAATAAACTCATTTTTGTTGCTTCACGTTTTAAGCTTTTTTTTCACCCAAAACTGTGAAAATAAGTTGTTTTTAAGTGTTTGCCAAACAGCTTTTTGAGCTCAGCTTTTTTTTATACCCATTTTTTATAAAAGCATCTCAGTACCAAACCAGTACTTCCCGCCTATGGATCAATTGACATTTTTCCCAAATTTTACGCGAAGAGGTCTCGTTTTGTGGCTTCAATATCATTTGATTAATCATCATGTAGTAAATTAACAAAGCTTAAAGAACAAAGAACAAAGTGTGGACTTGCAAATTTAAGCGCTAGGAGCACTGTATCGAGCTTCAACAAGTGTGCCCTCGAAGCACGATTAATAATCCTTTTGCCAAAGTCTCGTAATGGACTTTCACATGAGAGTGCGAAACTCACTGTTTATAACGAATCTCACTCTTTTGTGAGAGTTCAGACTCACACAACGAACTGTCACAAAGAGCGCTTGTAAGAATGTGTTTGTGACGAGTCGTACTCTTTGTGAGAGTTCGAGTTGGTACTGAAAATAAGACCCCGATCACAAATTCATATGGTTCTTATAAGAGATGAAAATTTGATTGGAAAGAAGAAAATGGTTCTTAAATCCAAAAAAAAAAAAGTTAATCTATTTTTTTTTTTTTTTTAAGAAACACCAACAATATGATCCTGTTTTGTTGAGAAAATAAGTGTGAGTTAGGTTCATGAAAAAAAGATAAGCCTAACAGTCAAAACCCCAAACAGACTATAAAATTTACTCAACTAATTGATGAATGAGAGGAGAGGTAAGAGAGCAAAATAAATGATGGCAAACTTCAGAAAGTTCGATGCTTTGACCAGGATTAGATGATGGTCATAAACAATATTATGATCATGCTAATAAGAAATGAGGCGGGGGAGGAAACCAAAGAATGACGGGATGAAGGTTATATCTAGATTAATTATCAATAAAGGGTTGATTGCACGTCTCGTTTTCTGCTTTCAACATACCAAGCATTACCAACCAATATCTCTCTGAATCGAACATACACTCTCCCAGGCTCACTCTCTCTCAAACACCTTTTTCTTAGCAAACCCGAAATTTTCATTTCCACACCCGCCGCCATGTACTTCTCGGAAAAACCTCAAGCAATCAAATTTTATATATTTCACTACCACGCCCACCGCCATGTACAAAACCTCAAGCAATCGACTTCTATAACGAGGAAGGCAGCAGGGACCTGATGATGGAGGTGGTGGTCTTGAACGAGGACCTCTACCAGTCTTAGTCTCAATCTCAATCCTAAACTCACCGATGAAGTGAGCCGAGACTTGGGTGTAGGACGAGACCCGAAGACTGATGGCCCTCCGCCCACAAGATGGACGGCTTGTTGAACACCTCCAAGTCAAACAAGGCCTTGTAGGCCCTTGTAGAAGCAGATTTTGGCAAAGATAAGAGAGAAAGGGTTTGATGGGGGAAAGATGGGAGATAAACAGTTCGATGGGAGCAGATATTTTTAATGTCAACACTTGAAATTAGATGTTTGCTAGGCTTAGAAAATGCAGCATAAACCAAATGTAATGTAGGTGCCCAACCCGGGAACTGAAGAATTGTTGTTTTTGTAGTCATTAGCTAATATTTGGGGTTTTAAAAGTTATTTTTCCGTCTCCTCTATGTTACCATTATCTAGCAATGACACATGCATAACTAAGAAATTTTACACAACGGCAAAAAAAATTCAAATAGACATTAGTTGTTGTGACGAATGTATACTTCAGAAGTACAAAATCTACAAACATTATCGGAAGAACCACAATAAAGAAACCACCATGTACACACACACACATATATATATATATATATATATATATAAAATAACTGAAAGAATTTTGATGAAAATATTTTTGGTACCAATTCTTAATAAAAATAATGAATCCTAAAATCTACCTGAAAGGTGTTTGAAACCCAAAACATTTTATTTAAAAGTACTTTCAGCCATTTTATAAGTAAAACTTGGGTGCAGGGCAAAAACTCGCATCCAAATTAAGGATCATCATCAGCGCCATTGCATTCAAAATTTAGCAACATTGTCCATGTCAATTTCGCATCGACCATCGCAAGTTTATTTGTACTTTGTACAGCAACGAGTGACTTCAACTTCGATGCCCGATGAAATACGAAGATGCTGAATTTCAAATGACACTCCGGCCTAACATTCTACCAGAAATAATCCGATGGTCGGCGTGTTCAAAGTATGGATTACAACTCGTTATAATTTCAATAAAAAAAGATGCTCACTACAAAATGTAGATACAAGCCTCATTCATCTTCCTGGCTGCGCAACCTGGCCAACTTGTTCGTAACAACAACATCAAGCTGGGCGGCTCTCTCAACAATTTCTTTCCTCTTCCTTGTGGACACATTGTGTGCAATCTCGGCGCAGTAGGTCCTGATTAAGATGAGGTGAAAAGAAAAAACAATGCAAATTAGAAATGTTCTGTGAAAACAAAATCTGAAACTAAAGAAGCACAAAACAAAGGTCTTCAGTATACCTATTGTGCATCATCAGCAGTTCGAGCTCCTTGACGTTGTGCACAACAAACTTCTTGAAATGATTGGGAAGATAATGACGGGTCTTCTTGTCTGACCCATAACCAATGTTGGGCATGAGAACACATCCCTTGAACTTCCTTCTAACACGAGAATCAATACCCTTTGGTCTTCTCCAGCTGGGCTGTCAAATAAAAAGTTGATGAACATGATGATTAGTCAGAGTAATGTACACCACGGCAAGAAAAATAACCGACTAATAAACAATGTAGCACAAAGTAAATGTTTGCAGGGTTAAAGTAACAGAAAGCCGTTGAGAATCAAAGCTAACTGTGTCGCAAAGACCTGTAAACTTCTATGTACGC